GTCGGGAGGGGTTGGAAACGAAACCGGGATAGGGATGGGGGGGGTGTAGCGAAAGCTGTTGGCAGCGAAGAGAACGGAAAACGCGCTCGCTTCGGCGAGCGGACCGAAGAAGGTTTTTTTTAGGCCGAACCTTTCGTCCATCTTGCTGGTTCCGAGGTAGCGTTTAAGGTTTTACGGGAGCCTGTCGATCGAAGTGACGGAAGTAGTTCAGCATCGCGGCAAGTGATTTTGAAAATGTTTGTGTCTCCACGTGCGAATATCTCCAGGATCCTGGCGAGACAATGCCTGAGAAGAAAAAGATAAAAAAAGATAACGATTTGTCCGTAACTCTCTCACCACGTTGATACGCGTTCCGATCATTATGGATAAATACGCCTTGTTTCGTGTAAAATGACAGTTTTCTCATTTCGGTTCTTAGGCGAACGAATGCATATCATAGTTGTAAATTTAACGATTTGTGAAATAAAAGCTGCAAACTGTTTGTGTTAACAATAGGTCATTGAACCTGATGTCTGGTGTCACGTTCTTTCTTATGGACTACAATAATGTCTCCCATACTGACGCTCGGATCGTCCACTAAAAATGGACAGTTTGGGGAAGTGGAGATACGATTGTTCGAGCCTTGCGGCTCGATTTTTTTTATAATTGTGGACGATTTATAAGTATAAAAATATATAATATATATAATATTTTATATATTATATAATAATAATATTATATTATTATATATGTTATATATGATATTATTATTTATATATATTAATAATTATAATTTATATATATATAAATAAAATATATTAATATGTTATATTATTATATATGTAATATATATAATATTATTATAATATATTATTATATATATATATAATATTATTATAATATATTATTATATATATATATATAATATTATTATAATATATTATTATATAATATTATTATAATATATTATTATATATTATCATATAATATTCGAATAATCGTATCTCCTCTTCCCAGATTGCCCATTCCTGTGGGCAATCTGGGCGTCAATTAGAGAGACATTACTGTAAACCCGCCCGCGAGGGTAGCCGTAGAATAGTCCGCGGTCTCGCTCGAATTGATTCCCTTCGACCCTGTTTTATTCCCGAACTTTCCGACGCGTGCCCGCCGGTCGTTTTATCCGCCGGCCGTTGCCGTTTATTTTTTAGTTTTTGTACGTTATCGAATAATCTGAAGATCACGTTACACCGGCCAGGCCGATTACCGCGGTAAATCGAGGGGGATCGTACACGCCGGTAAGTTTTACCTCTACTTTCAAAGCACGAGTATTCACCCTGTCTTTGTTATTTAGAATGAGAAACTGCACGCTTGCTTGCACTGGTGACTTTCCGAGCTGTTCGGACGTACGTTTCGTGTGAACATTTCATCGATGCATGCCCGTTATATCTTCGATATTGTTCGGTCGAGTAGATGTCCAGTTTTTGTAAGTTGATCATCGTAGAATTAGTGTTTAAATCACGGACACATTCCTGGATTTCATTTTGGTACACTACGATAGAACAGAATACACTTTGAACAGAACAGTTTCCTTCGTCGAATCGCTGTTTATTAATTAGCCCGATGAAAGACGGTTCATTGTACGCTGAACTTTATTAGGTGTTACGATGTTGTTCCTTGCTTCGACGAGAATGGCTTTTGTGTTTAAAAAAAAAGATCTTGGAAGAACGTTATGTAGAAAATTCCAAGATAAAGTTACAGCTTCCGAAGCTTCATATCCTAAGCTTCATGTCTCCCTAATTCGCGTTCAGATAGCGCACGAAAATGGACAATTTGGGAAGAGGAGATACGATTATTATATATAGGATGTTCCATAATTATGATAACGCTTGGAAGAAGGCGATTCCTCGGGTAATTTCAAGTAACTTTTTCCTTAGCGAAAATGCAAACCGCGGCTTCGTTTACGAATTATTAACGAAAAACGCTGACCAATGAGAAGCGAGCTCGCCTAGCGCTAAGCGGACGAGCCAATCAGCGGAACTGGGCTTCGACCGCTCGTTGACTCGACCGCCTTGCGCCAGAATGTCTCGCCTCTCATTGGTCAGTGTTTTTCGTTAATAACTCGTAAACGAAGCTGCGGATTGCATTTTCGCTAAGGAAAAAGTTACTGCAAATGATCTCAGGAATCGTTCTGCGTATACGATTATTATATATACGACAAATGTTGACAATCGATTATAAAAACTATAAAAACTATAATCGTATCTCCTCTCCTGAAATTGTCCAGTTTTGTGCACAATCTGAGCGTCAATTATAGGGAGAATTTACGGAGAATTTTCCTCTCTAAAATTCAAGAAAATTATGGTAGCTTCTGACGAATATTTATATATCCATTTCAGTTTTGCACACGTAATTACGTGTAATCGCGAGAAAATTGCTAGTGATATCTATTAGAAATATAATCGAATTGCGTTATTTGGTCGAGTAAAAAATCAGATTTGAGCCGTAAATTGCAAAGAAGTCGAGAGCTATCTTTAAGTAGCATCACTTTAGTATTTTAATCGCTTCGCACTTGAACTTCACTTAGCCGTAATCTTTTTAAGACCACGCCACCACTCACTATATTAGCTTCTTCCAGAGATCAAACTCGAATAAAAGACACCCTCCACAACATGAATCACAACAGATCAGTAACACCCGTGTCCGACGACAAGGGAGAATCATTTTAAACTGAGAAACCGGGGATTGAAACGGTTCCAAAATAACTCTTAATAACTGTTGTACAGACAGAGGTAGGAGTAATTTCCAAGGTTCTGGCTTATATCGATTGCGTGAAATCTCTCTGCAGCTAGGGTGAATCCCGCTAACAATTGAACAGATTCGCGAATTCCTATCGAGTTACACGCGAATCTTGATCGACGTGCGAACCGAATAAATATTCGATTTGCGCCGAATATTTTTGCATATTATCAAATACTGACTTGGAACAACATTTTTTACCGGTTCATTCACGGAGAGGTTAGAAACCGATGATACAACCGAGAGGGGATGATTCTACACGTGGAGTAAATTTTATTCATTTGAAGCTTCGATTTCGAGAGAAACTCGTTGGAAAAACAATGCTATTAAATAACAGAACTGGGCAAATTTTACTCGAAAGAAAAATCAAAAAGTAACCATTTCAAATAATTTATTTCACGGCGTTATTTGAAGATAAAAATAACGTCGATTCATTAGAGATAAATCGATCACAGATAATAAATTATTTCGTTACTTCTATATTTCTTTATTTCTAATTAGCCAAACGAAATAATGCTGAAAATAATAATGAACAAGAAGATCTTATTTCATGAGATCTTCACGACAATTTGTTTAAAGCTAAAAGGTGTGAAGAAGCCCCAAACATTGCATTTAACTTCATAATTATTTGAAGTAATTATAAAATAAAATAACACGTTATTCGAAATGATATTTCAAAAGTGTCCAGGTCTATTAAATAGGATTCGATTCACACGGCAGATCATGTCCTACTAATTCCACATGAAATTCCACATGAAATTTCCATAGAATAAATAATCTATAATTGATACAATCCATATCCGACTTATTCATTTTACAATAATGCGATCTAATCGACGCAGAATTCCTATAATAACGGCGCTAAAGAATCGAAACTGCAACCATAACTAAGCCAGAATCTTCCTCGCCACTTCGGTTCTCACATCCGGTTTAGGAACCGAATCCAACGTCGTTCTCGACCCGTGAAAATTCTGGTCACACTGAAATCACTGACACTGTCGACTCTTTTCCAAGATACTTTCGTCGAAGAAACTCGTCGTCTTGCAAAACGTAATACGTAACATCGCATACAAATGTAGAAAACAATAGCAACCATTTCTGACACTAGCGTATCTTTCGCTTTCTAATCTTCGTAAAGATTTGTAGACATTTAGAATTCGATGTGCGAATCAAAATCCTGTAATTCGTTCCTCGGCATCGTATAAGGAAGAGCTGTTCAACAGCTTGCCTGTAGGGGCAGCGATTTTCAGCACTGGGCAAACACCGATCGGTGGGCCCCACTAGGCTAGGCCCCATTAGACTAGGCCCCATTCCCGAGGACAACGATGCTCCTTCCTCAGCTGGAAGTATAACCCTTCCCCACTGTAACGACACGTTACAGTAAATTCTCCGCAATTGTCCCTCAGCTTGTAAACAGGAATGGACAATTCGGGAATAATCGACGACAATTGTCATCGCCGATTGTCAACTACTAACCCTTTGCACTCGAATGACGACTTCGAGGCGCCGTCTCAAACATTGTTACATCACGTTTGAAAATACTTTCTAACATCATCGAATTTGTTTATATTTTTCAAAAAACTGCGCGAAGTGTAATTGTTTCTCGAGTCACATTACGTAGTAATTTACATCGAACGGAAGTGCTACAGGCCAGAGAAACTATTTGAAATTTCTAGTTAAATTGGCTTCGAGTGCGAAGGGCTAATAATACTATCTTAATAATATAAAACAAAACAATAATAATACAATAAAATAATACTATAATAACCGTATCGTCTCTTCGAAAATAGTCCATTCTTCTCCGCAAACTAACGAACAATTGGGGAGGATTTACCTTGAAATTTACCTCGCAGTAATTTCTTCCAGAAATATTTAGAATGCGCAACTGAAACCAGCAGATCTGAGAACACAAAATCGCGATCCCTCGTGCATCCCGGCTCGTTTCTATAACCGTAGACAAGCTGAGTGCCGATTTTAGAGGATTTACCGTGCATGCATCGCCATAAGATCCTCCAGAAATCCTCCCCTGCCCTCTCCTAGCAATCAGAGTGTATCGAAATCTGCATCGAAAACGATGATCGCAAATCTACGAGTCCTCGTAGCGCCAGTGAGACCAGTGTCGGTGATTCCACTGTAACCCGAGAACCGTCGTCGTATCGTCGACCGGTAGGCCCAGCAGGATTATGCCCCGAACCCAGCGATCTAACGATCCCCGATCGTTTCAGGTGTCGCTGGCCCTCGGTCTGGAGGCGGGTGGTTGGGGCGCCTTGGTGGAGCGGTCGGGCGCCAGCGGCGGATGCGGTTCCCTGTTACGTCACGGCGGTTTCGCCGGTTTGGCGGGGCTGGCGCGTCGCTGCGGCGTCTGTTTGGCGACGTTTCCTTCCGCTTGGCTGCTGGAACGGCACGCGTTACTGCAGCACGCAGGCCAGGCGAGCGACGACAAGCCGTTCACCTGCGAGCAATGCGGCCAGCGTTACCGCTACCGTTCCGCGTACGAGAAACACCGGGAGCAGAACCACCGCGCCCGCTTGCCGGCCGACAAGCTGTTCACCTGCGACGTCTGCGGCATGCAGTTCAGGTATTTGAAGTCGTTCAAGAAGCACCGGCTGAACCACGCGCTGGAGCGGTTGCAACGCGCGCCGGAGCCGCAGAGCAGCGCGATGGCGGTCTCTGCGGCGGCGGAGCGGAGCGACCAGGTCTCCAGCACCGGCGAGCCCTCGCAAGTCGAGACCGGCAGCGACACCACGACCAACCCCGGCGAGGAGGAGACCAGGGCGACATTCGCGGAGAACACCCGGGAGGAGAGCGTCTCGGAGACGGCGAGCGTGCAGGAGAATCCCGGCGAGGCGGTCGAGGTGCAGATGTCGGAGGCGCCGGTCTTGAACGAGAGGGGTTCGGCGGACGGTGGTAGCGCGAGCGAGGTCGGCGACGTCGACGACGACCGGCCGGAGCCGACCGAGGCGGTGATCAGCCTGGCGAGGAGCAGCCACGAGGTCGACAGGCGCGAGCGACGATTCGCCTGCCCGTTCTGCGGTAAGTGCGTCCGCTCCAAAGAGAACCTGAAGCTCCACGTTCGCAAGCACACCGGCGAACGGCCGTTCGTTTGCCTGTTCTGCGGCCGCGCGTTCGGCGGCAAGAGCGACCTCACCAGGCACCTACGCATACACACCGGCGAGAGGCCCTACCACTGCGAGATGTGCGGCAAGTGTTTCGCCAGGGCGGACTACCTCTCCAAACACCTGACCACGCACATACACCAGCGCTGAAAACGGTTCGGGGCTCGGTTCCGTGACATTCTTGGTAATTCTTGATGCGTCTTCTAATCGGCGATGTCCGGCTCTCTATCGTCGGATCCATTGTATCATCGATCGGTATCGTCCGACGGGCGGAACGTCGCGACGAAGAAGAAGGCCGACGGCGCCGCGTTGCGACCGACCACGACACCCACGGCTCGACTAGATTTTGTATTCCCGTGATTTCCAGGTTCGCGCAAGGAAATCGTAATAGAACTGTGACGCGTCGTTCCGCAACGCGGCCGCGTCGGGCAACGGCCGAGACGATCCCGACACGCGAACAACGAATCGTTTGTTTTTGTTTCTTTTTTCGCGAGCGTTACGCGCTTTCGAAACGAACGTTGCGACGATACCGACGAGATTACCGGCGAGACATCGCTGATTTGTATACAAGATCGTTTCATTTAAGACGCACCAATCGAGAACGTCCAAGAACGTGGGGGTGGTTTTCGGGGACCGGCCCTCGTCCGAGCTCGCGCGCGAAACGCTCGCTCGCTCGCTCGCTCGCGCGATCTAAGGTTCAGAGGACCCTGGGGATTTTCTTTCGCAGTCGGATCAGAGACGGAAAACGTTGCGCGAGCTTCCGTCGAAAACCACCCCTCGGAGGTCGTCGAACTCGGAACATTTCCGCGCGTGCTTCCCTCTCGGCGTCGGGGCGCGACGCGAGAGGCGGAGGACGCAGCGCGAACTGCGAAGAGAAAGACGAGAACCGCGTATCCATCCAGCCGTTAGCCCAGCGAAGACGAGTCAATTACGGTGAAAGAAGGAAACGAAGTAATCGTCAGCGGCGAGGACGACGAGGACGACGAGGACGACGACGAAGACGACGACGAAGACGACAACGAAGACGACGAGGACGGTGATAGGTGGCTTGGCTTTCGCCCGGCATCGAAACTGCGAGGGTCTCGCGTTACCACGAACACACCTGCTCGCGAGAAGCAAGGAGAAGACGGAGGGAATCGCATGAAGACGACGGGAGGAAGACGCGAATAGGGGGAGTCAAGGTTTCTACGTAACGTTAACGTAACTAACTTGTGATAAGAGAGGAGCCGAAGCCAAAGAGAGCACAGACAAACGTCGACCGTCAACCGGTTCCATTATTATTTCGGTTATGGTTGTTGTTGTTGTTGCTGTTTGTCATTTCCGTGTTCCGCGAGGAATCGACGACCGACGTGGCCCGTAGTAACGTGCCAGCTATTTTGCGTACTCGACGCGATTTGTATATTGTGTGCAACAACGATCATTTCACTTGTACTCCATTGCAGGACTAGCGCATCCGTCCCGCCCCCTTTGCCCCCGAGGAAGTCGCCGGTCTTCGGCGCCGCGGGACAACGCTCGGCCGTTCCCCGGGAACGGTTTCCTTTTATCGCGATACCTTCGCATCGATTTAACGTCCGCGTATCGCGTCACGCGATGATAAGCCACGGTTATTGATCTCGGCCGGAGGAATTCTGCGGGGATTGTTAGTTTGACGGACGTTCGAGCCGTCGTTCCTTTGACGCCGCGGAACGCCCGCGGCGATTACGGCTTTTGCGGTTGCTCGCCGGCCCTCGGGAAGAGTCTAAGACATTTTTAGGCGAATTTTCGTCGAGCCACTGCGACGAGCTGTTCTCGTTTCGTTCGGATGGAAGTTGCTGTTTTTCTTTTTTTGTTTTGCATTGTTTTCTGTTACAATGGTCTGCGAAGCGGGAACGAGGTTATTTCTCCCGAATTCGCGCTATTGTGCGATTGTGAGTTAAATTGTGCACGAAAGTGGACAATTCGGGGAGAGCTGATGCGATTAGTCGAGCCACGGGGCTCGTTTTTATAGTTACCGATTGTCAACGGCTATGGGAACGAGATAAGGTTCGAATAATCGTGTATCTTCTTCCCAAAATGTCCATTTTTTGTGCGCGATCTGAGCGCGAATTAGGGAGAAATTATTGTGCACTGTTGTTCTTCGACGGCCGATGTTTTGCAGTATTTGTTGCATACAACGCTTTGCATACTGTTAACTGCAGTTTTCGGACGGTCCTTTTCAAATCGGAGAGCAAAAGCAATTTCTGGAGAAATTGTCGTGCGAATGGAAATGATCGAATTTCTTTTGCACAAAATTCGGTCATTAGAACGGCTGTTAATAGCCGACTATTAACGGCTGTATAATCCAGCAGATAAAACGTTAATTCGCGGGCGAACGAGTACGAAATATTGATTTGTAAAATCGTGGTGTTTCAGCGAAACAATACAGTTCGTGCTGGGAAATTGAAGGAACCGACAATTTAATATATCAATCAGGGAGAATTAATTAATGATTAATGAATAATTTTCTTCGGATGAAAATTTCAAGAGAACAAAAGTTTTCGTCATTTCATGGGCACTCATTTATTGATTAGAATTAGAGGGAATCATGAAATCGACGATGTTTCGACTTTTATTTCGCAGAAAACAGGAATCTTGAAAACACAAATCTGTGAAACTTGTGATTACGATATCGCGATGTTAATCTTTTGTTAATCATTTATCGGATCGTCCGAAAAATTTCGCGGTTTTCACGTTCTTGTCAAGGTTATTTTATAATTATTGCAGAACTTCATTGAACGATTTAGAATTATTTAGCATTATCTTAGAATTATCGCAGAACTTCATTGAACCATTTAGAATTATTTAGCATTATTTCAGAATGATTGCAGACCTCCAACAACAAATTTCGCTCTCGCGAAAGCCCCTCCGTTCACATTCAAAACAGTCGTCAAAACTGCAAAGACACCGCAAAGACGCGGGAAATCGCAGACTTTCCCCAACAGATCGCCAAAACGAACGTACAAACCTCGCCTAAAAATGTCTTACGCGGCAAATCTGCGAGGAGTTCATTTCGTCCGCCATTGCGACTTTCTTCAAGGTCCAACCGGAAGGTTGGAACAGCGCGAAACGCCGAATGAAAAGCTCCACGATAACGAACACAAGGAACAACCCCTTCGGTAACTCTGAGATAATAAAAATAATAGAAAAAAAGAAACGCGCGCGTTGTAATCATGGCCGCCGAAACAAGCAACAAGTAAAAAATAAAAAAGAAAACAAAATTCCAAGAACAGTGACGATAACATCTAGGCGTCAACTTCGGCGGTTTTTCAGTTCCGAAAGCATTACGAGACGCTGCAAGACTCGACAAACGAAGCTCGATCAACGTAAACACAATATTCACAGTTTCCACCGACGAATACAACAAAAACTATTTATTGCTATTTATCGCGAATCGAGAAGGTCAGATAAAAGTCGGATAAAAGACAGTGGCGCGGTGCGATCGTCGAGCGAACTCCTCGCCGAGGCGTGTGCGACGAGCGTCGGCCGCGGCGGATCGAAAGAGAAAATTCCCGAGGGGCGCGGGCATTTCTCCCCGGGAAAAAGAGATCCAGCGGTTGTACGCTCGTGGCTGAACCGACTTCCTCGGGTAAGGTGCGGGCCGACGCATCCGACGTTGGTATCAAACGGAGGACAAAGTCGTCCATGGCGCCGCCGTCTATTCGGGAGCGTCGCCGGTGCCTTCGAGAACCCACCACCCCCCGTACCCTTTTTAACGCGACAGAGCAATAAAGCGTCTATTTTCGTTGCCGCGATACGAGAGCCGTGTAAAAGAGTCCACGGACAAAAAAAAGGAAAACAAAGCGATTTCGGTTGTCTATCGCCCGGAGCCGCGATGTGGCGTCTTGTCGCACGGTCTATACGGTCCTTCGAGCCTCCTTCTTATTTACTGTCCACGCTCTGCTGTCTGCACGTGTATATATACATATGCCAGTGTATGTATGTATATCCCCGGCGCGTGTAAACGTATATATATATATTTGGATATACAGTAATGTCTCTCTAGTTGACGCTCAGATTGTGCACGAAAATGGACAATTTGGGAAGAGGAGATACGATTATTCGAGCCTTGCAGCTCGTTTTGATAATTCGTAACTATAAAACGAGGCAGAAGACTCTCAAATTAATCGTATCTCCTCTCCCCAAATTGTCCATTTTTGTGCGCAATCTAAGCGTCAATAAGGGAGACATTACTGTATATAGATATATATGAATATATATGGATATATGTGGATATATATGGATATATATGGATATATGTGGATATATATGGATATATATGGATATATATATGGATATATATAGATTTATATAAATATATATATGGATATATATGGATATATATGGATATATATAGATTTATATAAATATATATATGGATATATATGGATATATATGGATATATATATGGATATATATAGATTTATATAAATATATATATGGATATATATGGATATATATGGATATATATAGATTTATATAAATATATATGAATATATATGGATATATATAGATTTATATAAATATATATGAATATATATGGATATATATGGATATATATATATATATATATATATATATAGATTTATATGAATATATATAGATATATATATATATATAGACATATATACAGATATATATATGTATACAATACACATAGACGCGATAATGATACATTGTCCAGTAAATGCGCGAGCGCAGAACGAGAGTGCCGGTTCATTCTCTTGGGACTGGTTTCGTAAGGGATTGCATCCCCCGTCTCTCTCTCCATCATGTCCGAGACCCGCCGAGATCCGCAGGATCGCCAACAAGCACGCCCATCCCTCCGCAAGTCTGCTCGTTCCTCGTTCCACGTGGAACCACGGGATCGCGATCCGAGACCGATCGATAACTTCCGGTCGCACCGGGCTCGAGCTTGCAAAGCGAGAGCGAGCCCGACGAGGAAACACGCCGACGCGGCGTGACGCTCGCCGAATTTAATGAAACTTTCGGTCCGCGTGCTTCTTACGGAAATATTTGACACGTTTCGTTATCGGCCATCGTTCGCGTTGATCCGAAGCTGATTTGCAGGCTGAATTTAACCGGCCTGCTGAAGCTGCAAGTGGCAGAATGGTGCTTCGCAGAACGTCTTAAAAACCGCTAAGCTGTGGGGGAGAATGCTTTCGGTGAAGATCAGTAGGTTATTTCGATTGTAGCATACGGTTTCATCGATCTTGCGTGGTCTTTTTATTTTTTTTAATTTGTGGAATGTTTACGGAGGTTTTACGGACGGTTTTTTATATGGTTCTTTCACAACCCCTACGATTTTTCTCTCATAGCTACCTTATCCAGCAGTACTTTGTTGTAAGATCGGATAGATCAACGGAATTAACGTCGGAGAGGAAATTTATATTTTTGTTATATACCTGCGCACGTTGCAATTGCAAAAATGTCGAGGCGAAAAGTTTACGTTTGATTTCGATTTGAAATAAGAGAGGTCGCATCCGGGCGAAATCTTGTAACCAGTCTGATATTATAGTGCGAGGGTTGAAATCCACGATCAACGACGGGTGTTTAGTTGATAAATTGTTCAGAGACTGCAGCAATTTTATCTGTGATTATTGTTTAGTAACGATGTTCTCGTCTAGAATTATTATTTAACAGATAATTACCGGTACAGCACAGTCATTGAAAAGCTTATCGTTAGGTTTCCGATAAAGATAGTATTAAATAATAGCAAAGAGTATACTGTATTTAATAGCAGCAAGGGAAGTTGCACTTCTTTGCATTTCTCGCAAGTCGAAGTCCTCAAGAGAGAATATTTAAGCACGTGGGAGGCAAACTTCAATCGTAATTAAAATTTTCATATCGGTTTTAAATATTTATAACACTGCTTACATTCGTTCCGACGATGCTGCAGCAGAGTTTACCATAGTATAATTAGGTATATCGAGGAAATTAACATTGTACCCGGTGGCAATTTCTTAATGGTTCTAAGAAAATCAAAGATTAACGGCTCAGCATTTTTTTAATAAATTATTCGACGGCAATTTCATTTCCGTTCCGACAAGTTTTATCTTGAGTAATACGAAGTTTATTATTTCGAAGGAAATTAATAAGTTTCTTTTAAGTAGACCACAACTGTTTAACATCTTATTAATCATGCAATAGCTACAGTATAATAATAAGGATATATTTTATGCTAATAAAATTTTAACAATGATATTCCACATGACATTTAGTAGAGACGAAAATGATTGACATTCGTACACTTAGATCAACAATTTCGACCATTTATGAACCTAATATTCCGTCGTATTCGTATTAAAAAAAAAAATACGCTAGTTTACTATTTATTTTGCAAGAAAGAAGTCAGCCAATCGTAACTTTCTTACAAAAATAAAAGTTTCCCGATGTACAGAAAATGGATCATCGTTTGACTTAAAAAGAAACGAACGAAGCTGACGCGAATTTATTATTAAATAAATTGTCTTCCCTATTGTTCTATCATTTTTAAAAAACCGTTTCGATTTCGCATTTTTTCCGAACGTGTCGACGCCGTCAACGATGTTCACGACGCATCGAATTTCTTCAGAATTCCCGCAACTTTCTCCCGCAGTTTTCGACTAATTTATTCATTCGTTTCCCCGCTGCAAGGTCTTCGCAACTTCAATAATTAGCGCGTGAGGCGGGGGGAGAGGGGGCGACGCGCGAGCCTAATTACGAAACAAACGTCAGATTTTTCGCGGGACGATTTGCCTGCGAAAGTTTCATTAAAATTGGCGAGCGTCATTCTCGGCGTGTTCCCGGCAGTCTCGCCGCGTTTTGAATTATTTACGAATCTCGCGCGGATCCACGGTGACGTTCCGCAAACGGCGCGGCCTGGCCGGGAGTCCCGGCGAGCCGCTTCTGGCTGATCGATCCTCTGGACCGGCGGCGCATCGATCGGCGCTTAATTCCGTCTTCTAAAATA